TTAAACATAAGCTTCGATGACGGATTGCACTGCACATATGCGTTTTACACTGAATCTGGTGAATCCTGCCTCACCCAGAACATACTCCCATTGCTTTAATGTCCTTTCTTTGCCTTTGCTAGTATGTGCATCATCACCATGTCCAACATCAACCTCACAAACTAGCTTCTCATCTTTATCTTCTTTGACCACAGTTTGAACGATTATGCAATTCAAAAACATACACATATATACAGAGAGATTTGTGTATTGTGATGCTGAATTGAAGGAACCAAAGTTCTCATACTTGAACATGTTGCTTTCGACATGTTCAATGCCATCGACTTTCGGTGCGATGGCAACAACATGAGGAAGATCAAAGTTGACTCTGTGAATCCAAGGGAAAGCCTTAACCAACATACTCAAAAGAGGTTCCATTTCCTCCACCAACATAAACCAAACTTTTAAGGCCATCAAACACTTTGGGGCATCCTTCAATATGGCAGACATCAACGAGTTTGCCATGGCCGAGGTTCAGCTTGCATAGCTCCATTCACCCTTCTCATGTGCTACCTCAAATGGTGAATTCCCACTCTCAAGTACATAAGCACTTAGATTATGCCATGGTGCTAACATAATAGGGCCACTCTCTAGTAGAAACAAAAGTGTCATTCACATTCTTACAATTGTACAAGTATAGCAGCAAGCTAGGAATGTTGCAAAACCAACGTTTGGTTCACGATGGCGAACGAGTTCGGACAAAAGAAGTAAAAGAGAAGCCATGGAAATTCCAAAACAAACCGTGTTGCTTTGCTGCTACTTTAGAGAGTCGATATGTTGAAGGCTGGAAGGTGAACCACTATTTATTTATATCTGAAAACATGGAGACAGAACAGGTGATGGTAATTACTGGGCGTGGCTCATAGTTTATATCGCTTACCTGTGGCTGTCTGGGTCGGCTGGCATTAATTGGACCATCACGCCACTTGTTTTTTATTTTTCAGGGTTAAACTCTTGGTGGTTTTTTAATGTTGCTGTACTTGCCTCCGCTCTTTTTTCTTTTCCATGGCCTTTTCCTCCAAAACCATTAGTCTCAGCCACTTGCCAACTAGTTTGCTGATATGCTGGTAATTGCGGCGCCCGCTTGCCACCTACCGATATTTATTTTTGCTTAATATATTATGGGTAAACTACGAGAGTAGCCATTGATGTTTAAGTAAGTTTTTCTTTTTCCCCATAATTTTTCTCCTTTCTCTTAATTAATATATTTTTTTAATAAAAAATATTGTTTTTTTATAAATTACATTAAACACATGTTAAAAAGTACAAAAGAGTCAAGCGTTCGATCTCGCATGATAAAACACATCAACATTCTATCACTCTCAATAGCAACTGTTAACAGTGAGTAACTGATTTGTTATACATCAATAATATTAATGACCAAATCATTAATTTTAAAATTTAGTGGACAAAAGAAAACTTTACTTAAATATAAGTGACCATTTATGTAATCTACCCATATATTATTTAGTGGGTTGAATACTCATGATATCTAAAACAAGGCCCGGCCTACAAATACTAAATCAAGCAACTCGACGTCGTCGTAAAAGAGAAACAAAAACATCCTTTACAAACCCCTTTGTTCCTCCTTACAAAGCCGAAACCTCGACAGCCGAGAAGCAGCCTAACAGAAACGAAAAATGGGGAATAAAGCAAAGACCTCAAGGAAAGGGAAGAAGGCTTGGAGAGCTAACATAAGCACTGAAGACATCCACGATTTCTTTGAGAAGTCCACGAAAGATGCCCTCTCTGGAGGTTCTCTTACTTCTGCTCCTACTGAATCCCTCTTCGTCATCGACAAGTCTAAAGGTCTTGTTTTTTACTCTCTACACTCATTTTTTCTTATTGAATTTAAGTTTCCTTAATTGGGTTTTCTTTGTTTTGTCAGATCTTTCTGTTAAGAAGAAGATTGAGAAGAAAAGAGAAAAGGTATTGCGAGTGGATAGTATGCTGAAGAAGAACCATTTTGTTGAAGTAGTACCATCTTCGAAGCAAAAGAGTTTCAAGAAGAAAAAGGAGGCTTTGAAAGCTGTAGATGCTGTAGTTCAAGACGCTCCCAAGGTGAGAATCTACTGAAGTAAATTTTGTTCATATTTTTAAAATATATTGATTTCGAATTGTTTTGGTCTTAGGATGAATCTGTCCCCGACTCTGGCATGGTTCCCTTGTGGGGAGATGGAGGTATTTGTCCTTAGAAATTTAAAGTTTTGAGGTTTCTTTCTCATTGTGTTTTTATTTTGTTATTGCATGGTAAATTTGATTCTCTCCATGCTCTTTCAGGTCAACATGGTGGTCGCAAAGCTAGACAGGTTTCTAAACAGTCCATTATTCCTGCTGTGGAAGTCGAGGCTCCTGGATGTTCATACAATCCCGCATTCGAAAGTCATCAGGTGAATTTTGAAACACATTGTTGTTCATAAGTCTGCTTTATTCTTTGCGCTACTCTTATATTGTATTCTTCTTTAATGTCAATCCAGGATTCGTTGGCTCAAGCTGTTGCCGAGGAAATGCAAAAGGCCTACAAGATAGAGTTGGGACCTCAGCCAGTTCCAATAACTGTTATGGGAGAAGTGGTTGATGAAGATGATGTGAGTGTATGTTGTTCTATTCATATATTATCTATTCTTTGATTTGCAATGCAAGTCTAGACACTAATAAATTGTGGTTCTGGATTCTTTTTACCTTTTGTTTTGAACTCATTTATAGCGTTATTGACTAAACCATCTTTTTTGGTCAGAAATACTTTATCGAGGTAGATGATGAAAGCGATGATGATATGAATGAGGAGGATCCAGAAATGGAGAAAAGGTTAGTTTATTTTAATATTGCTTTTGTCATAATTGCTTATGTATTTGTCACTATGTCTTTTTGTCTTTCGGAGAAATATTGGGATTTGAGCATTACGTGAGAATCTTATAAGTAGTAAAATTAAACTTGAATTCATGGATTCAAGTATCAGTTTAGCTGTAAGGTACCTCTCATGATAAACATCAGCGGGAGATCATGGTTGCTCATAATATATTCTTTTGGTTAAAGATGAGACAAATTTCTATAATCCCAAACCAGCTTTTGTATGTGGATGGCTAGCTTTTGGGATTTCCCAAGATCTTAAGGGATTCGTACTCTTTCTTTCCTTTATCATTTTATCATGAACTCTTGATCTATATATTGATTCTGCTTCTATCATGCCGCAGGCCGCTCAAAATAAAGAGGGTGACTCGAGTTGAGCTAAATAAGAGAGCTAGAAGGAAAGAGTTGCAGAAAAAAGAAGCTGAAGTTAAAAAGAAACAGGAGTTTACCAAAGACATTGACAAATGACAAGTACATTTAGCTTTGTCTCTGATGTGGCTCTTATCTATTCATTGAGGATATATGTTTTATTATCTGTTGGTTCTGTTGGATGCAGCTTGTCGGATATCTTACAAGAAATAGCCAAAGAGGATGAGGAGAAGCAAAAGAAACATCTTCGAAAGGCCATAGCTAAACAAGAAAGACTTAAGTCTTGTCCACCACGCCTGGGTAAATACAAGTATGCAACTGTTTTAATAAGTTCTCCTTTGTCATCTAGTTTCCAATATATGATGAGCATAATTAACTGTATATTTGTGATTTTAATCGCAATGATCATAATTTCAGAACTTATTTGGTATCTAAAATCAGATCTTTTGAACTCTCTTTGAAACTTTTTCCATCTGAATGCTTGGTTTCACCTCTTGCATCAAGTGATCCGAAGATAATGCAGTACTTCCTCAACTTTTAAAGGCATTAGAAAGATACCTGATTGATCTATATTGTTCAAAAATTCCAGATTCCAGCCTGCTCCTCCACAAGTCCTCTTATCTGAAGAGCTTGCATCTAGTTTCGAATTTACTGTAAGGTAATAAAAGTTGACTGAATCCGTGTTTTTTATATTCTTATGTTGCATAAAGGGTTGTGCTACACTTGCAAGAGATAGATTTAAAAGCTTTGAGAAGAGAGGCCTAATTCCCCCATCAGCCAAGAGTGGAAGGTCAGTTGAATTTGCTAACATTTATGTGTTTGATAGGGACCTGAAACCAATGTTACACGACATCCTATTACAAATCCAATTACACGGTTCAACTGCTCATGCATCTTGGTTTTTTGTTATATTCTATATTGATTTTATCTAAAATGGTAATTGGAAGGACGATATCAAAGATTCCAATGTTTACTTGGAAAAGTATAGGGTTCAGTATAAATTGATCACTCACCTTGGGTAGCATCAGCATTTTTTTCTGCAAAATTTCGTTTTCCATGTATTATTATCACTCTCTATTGCACAATTGACGAGTATCAATTGATGTGCATGTGGACAGGAAATAGAGTGAGGATTTGTTTCCAAGGATATCGACCATTCCATTTTGTGGTGAGGCAAATCAGAATACTTTTCACCCGATGCCATTTAAAGTGAGCAAGCCGGATCCATCTGTGTTCTTTGAATGCCTCCCTGTGTTTTAGGATGGTTTAAAATTCAGATATAGTTGTTTTCTCTTCCTTTTTGACACCAAAGCAAGTGTGATGCGATGTAAGAAATCCTGGAAGATTATTTAGTGATGATTCTCAAGTCAGAACTTTATCATTTATGTTAGTTTTTTTGTTAGCTGAATGAGCTAAAATTTCCAGAAATTACAAGCAATGTTCTGGGGTAACATACCTTGCTGGAAATCTATTCTGTTTCCCTAGAGAATTCCAGAGCTGATTATCTGTTTCAGTAAATTGTTGTATTGTTATGTTTTGTTCAATTACGGGAATGGCCATAGTTCTGGCAAAAAAAAATTCCAAATCCAACCAGCACAAAATTCATCATATAGTTTCATTGATATAAGATGAATCTACACTCTTCAAGGGAAGTGAATACTGAATAGATAGTCTTATTGTTGTCTCGATCTAGGAATGACAAAAAGCAATGCCCTTGAATTGTAAGAATGGCTGCAACAAAGAAGATAAGTAAAGAGGATTAGTAAGGATATAAAGAAATTGATAAGTAAATAAATGATGAAATAAAGATAAGAAAGAGTTGGTTGAGGAATTGAAAATGATGATATTGGTGGTCCTCAATGGAAGATTGGTTGATGGTGTTGAAGTTGAATGGATGATGGTGATGAAAGTGTATCTCAAACACGCTAAAGAAGAAGCTATGCTAGAGAGCACAACCCCGGTCTTCACAAATTTGCTTGAGGGATGGTAATGATGTCTTAAACCCACTACATATGAAATCTAGGAATTATAAGAATCAAGATGGAAAGTTTGACGCCACAAGTATAGAAATATACTTGCTTAATCGATAAAGTTCTTAAAGAACTTGGAAGAGAGATTAACTCGCAAAGAAGTTTTATAATATGAATGAAATGAGTTCAAATAGAAGCAACCTCTCAATTTATAGGAAATGAGAGGGCTTGGCTGAATAGGCACCTAATGATTCGGCTAATTACATAAATTTAATGAAAATACATAATGCTTCAGTTGAAAGAATGAGTCCCTTGGCATGGTGATGCTTCGGCTAGAATGAGATACATCTCCCTTGCCCGAATGGTTATGTGATGATTCAAGTTGGCACCAAAAATCTTCATGTGCATAGCATGTGGGGGCTGACCAAATGGTGAGGTGCTTGTTCATCTTGGCTCCAAAGTCTTCATGTGCAAGGCATGTGTGATGGCCAATAGACATGATGCTTGCCTCATATCTCTTCATGATTTAAACCTCAATTTGATGACCTCTCTTCACCAACGTGCACCTTGATGAAAGGGCATCTTCATGGACAACAACATTCATGAAAGGTCACAATTGTTGGAAGGTAACCTTTCATGTTTGAGCTAGTTCTAAGGTGAATGAGCTAGAGGTGAGTTGGTCATAGGTGAGTTGCAACATGATGAGTGTTATGGCAGCTCCTTTTGGAAAGGCACCTCTTGGAATGGCAACTATTCGCAAAAAGGTACAATTTCACAAAAATTGACTTAAGCCTCATTTGAAGTGTCCTGAGTGGTGATGATGATAGTGTAGTTCCCCAGCTGAATTGAAGTCATCATCTAGCTCGAATCTTAGCTCAACCCAACTATGAGCTCACTAGTCTCCGGGCAACTTTTTACCAAATGTTCCTTATGCTCTCCCTAAGCGACCCCATATAAGTTTCGTTGTTGTTGCTTTCACCATTTAGCTCAAAACAACTCCCATAGGTGTGGCCGAATGTATCTATATTCAAAAACATAGAAACTAAGTTAAGTATATGAATTATTATAAAGTAATAAGGATGTATATATGATAAAGATGTGTACTATAGAATATAATGATAACTTATGCCTCACATAGTAATGAGTGATTTATTATCATTATAGCTATAGATGTAATATATATAGATGAATATATTTATGTTATAATAAACGAAATATGAATCATTGTGTAGAAAAATAGAAAGTTTCCCCCCTGAATCTTAAGAAAGATTGGAGATGCAAGGATAAACATGATGCTGAATTAGATCACATTTTCAATCAAGTGATTGGCAAGCGATCGAGGTTCAGACTCAGGTTCCGGCTCAGACTCGACAGTTTGAAAACATTGTCAGCCCAAGCAAGTATGCGATTCAAACATTGTCAGCCCTAGCAAGTATGCGAACCGAGCTCGAAACATTCAGAGCAAGGCATTTATATGCTAACTCAAGAGACTACACCAGAGTCTTCATCTGTTTTCACAGTACATCAAAAGTAAAACTATGTTTTTCACTAAACAAATGAGCATTTATATGCTAAACCAAATGTAAAACTATGCTTCACAGAACATCAAACACTGTAAAATCCTAGTTTTTACAGCAGAAATGTGCAAACTACCAAAACCAACAGTAATTTTGATAATTATTCAGACAGACTTAAAAGATAATGAACACCAAAAAGCAGCAGCATTCCTTTATTCGTCGGCCGGCTCATCATTGTCAGCCCAAACCGGCATTCTTCCATCCCAATAGACCAAACAGTCCCTGCAGCCGCCATTTTGATCATTTAGTATTTGGAGGGGTGGAATTAATAAAACTTACGGATCAAGCATAATCGGTCCTGTCCGTACAGAAGTCACGCCTCCAGGCATCTGAAGAACGGCATGACGCATAATCTGAAAACACTCGCATATCATGTGTTCTGTATTTGAAAGAACCGACATATTATAGTGTTCTCTATTTGTAATTATAACTTACAAAATGGTCGCCGACGCATACGCCGCATTGATTACAATAGAGTGCTACAGCCTGCATACAGTGGCGAATCCTACGGTTACATATACTATCCAACTGCAGGTTCACACTATATATATATATATATATATCAAGGAATCAAGCAAGAAGATTAGATTATAACCAAGTATGGTGCACTTTACATTACACAATGGAATGAGAGATATCTTACGCTGCAGAAGGGCTGCAGACAACTCCACTCATCACATCTCCATCCCGCGTCGTCTCTCGTATCTGAAAAAGAAATTGATTCGAAGTATGCAAGTTTTCTCTGACTATCATGTTCATTTATTTTCTGTTTACTGTTAAATGAAGGGTTTTTCTTCTTCATTATTGGCTATGCTCATTGTACAATGATATCTAAATAAACAAGTTGAATGCAGATAAGGTTTCCAAGATAAAGCATCAGCAACAGACAAAAAACTAATGAGCTTCATTCCTTGTCATTCTTGCCTTGTATATATAAACACAATCAAGAACTGAAATTTTGGACAGTAAAAGATTCATACAAAAAAATGGAATATAGAGAGTTGATGGACATACAGGGGTAACAAGGTTGGGATCATGATCCCTGCAGAAGATTCTACCATTCGTTGGGGCATTGAGGATGTGGTTTCTTCAGGAAGCGCATAGGTAGAGACGATGCCTATGATCCATTGGGAAGCTAACTCTGTCGGGAGGCCGCCTCGGCATATTGGAAAGGAAGAAGTCGAGGAAAATGATTGCTTAACTCCAAAGAAACAGCGTATCTTTATTTTCTCTGAGATTGGTTTGATTAAGCTTCTTGGAAGGTGAAATGGGGATGCTTTATCATTTATATAAGCAAGATGAAACGAGATTGAAATTAAATAACTTCTTCTTCTTCCCTTGTGACCGATTTTTGCGCGCCAAGATGATTTCTTGATTGTGTGTGCTCAAGGGTAATTTGGCCATGTCTTTATGTGAAGCAAGCCTCCAGCAAATTAATCCTTTAATCTTAAGCTTGATTAATCCAAATAATTAATCACGGAAGAATTCTTGAAATAATTAGTTCAAACAATTCATTTCATGTTTTTAAAGCACATCCAAGATTCAACCTGCAACAGATAATCTCATGCAGGCTACTTAAACCAACAGCAAATATACTGCTACGTACTCTCACTATCACAGCACTTTGGTGATTACTTAAAAGGCACTAAACTGAAAACGAACAACAAAAGCAGTAGTTGCAGAAACTGCAATCTTAAGCAGCGGCATTCCTTTACTGCAACCTCGTTATTAATTATTCCAAACCAACATTCTTACGTCCCAGTAGATCAAACAGTCTCTGCTCTGCACCCACCATTTTTCGTTCAAATTCAAACCAATTTTCTACCTTTATGATTCTGTATTTTGAGGGCGGCTCAAAGATTAAAGAGATCGTGTGAAATTTATAAAAATGAGCCTCATTACTTATAACCCTAAAGAGAGATGAGATTTCTTTCTGTTAAAAAAGTTATTGTTAGATTATCCTCTTGATCAAAAGAATGACTTACAAACATCTAAAATTCTAACACTTGCACTTAAAAAGTGTTACTCTTCGTGCATGTTTTACAATGGTTCAATATCAACTTTTGCATGGAACTCAATTGAATTTTTTAAAAAAACTCTAAACAAGTACGCAAGTCGAGCTCAAAACATCCAGAACATGGCATTTATATGCTAGCTCAAAAAACTAAAACCGGATTCTTCACTGTTTTTACAGTGCATCAGATGTAAAACTCTGTTTTTTTACTAAACAAATGAGCAATTCGTTTGCTAAACCAAATGCAAAACAATGCTTTATAGCGCATGAAACACTGTAAAAATCCTAGTTTTCTCTTCTTGCAGCAGCAATGTGCAAACTACCAAAAACCAACAGTAATTTTGATGATTATTCAGACGATCTCAAAAGAGTAGCAATCTAAGAACGAACAACACAAAGCAGCGGCATCCCTTTACTCGTCGTCCGACTCGTCGGCCGGCTCGTCATTGTCGGCCCAAACCCGCATTCTTCCATCCCAGTAGATCAAACAGTCCCTGCAGCCGCCATTTTGATCATTCAGTATAATTATATACATGCATTCATTATTTGAAGGGGAAACTAATAGAACTTACGGATCAAGCATAACCAATCCTCTCCGAATAGAAGTCAAAGCCCCAGGCCTGGAAATAATGATATGACGCATAATCTGAAAACAACTCAAGCTCACCGTCACATATCATGTATTATGTATTTGAAACAACCCACATACTGTACTGTTCCGCATTTGTAAACTGCAACTTACGAAAAAGTTGCCGACGATTACGTTGCATTCGTCACAAAATACTCTCACCGCCGGCATACCATAGCGAACCGTACGGTTAACCATAGTGTCGAACCTCACATTCACACTATATTTGTATACATATCAATGAATCAAGCAAGAAGATTAGATTATAACTAATTATGTTGCACTTTATATTGTTATTACACAACGGAATGAGAGATTATATCTTACGGTGCGGCCGGGTTGCACACAACTCCATTCATCATCTCTCCATCCGGTGACGTCCCTCGCATCTAAAATTGAAATTGATCCAATGTAAGCAAGTTTTCTGTGACTATATATGATGTTCATTTCTTTTAGGGTTTTTCATCTTCATTATTGGCTATGCTCTCATTGTACAATGATCTCTAAATAAACAAGATGAATGCAGTTAAGGTTTCCAAGCTGAAACATCAGTAAACTAACAGGTAAAAGACTAATGAGCTTCATTCTTTATCATTCCTGGCATTGTACATATATAAACACAATCAAGAAGTGAAGTTTGGGGCAGGAAAAGAATGTCATATAGGCATACACGGGTAATAAGGTTGCGATAATCCCTGGTGAAGATTCTACCATTGGTAGGGGCATCGAGGAAGTGGGTTCTGCAGGAAGCGCATAGGTAGAGACGATGCCTATGATCCATTGGGAAGCTAACTCTGTTGGGCGGCCTCGGCATTTTGGAATGGAGGAAAACCAGTTGACGAAAACGATTGCTTGTTTATGCTGATGACTCCAAGAAACAACGTCTGCTTTCTTTATTTTCTCTGAAATGGATTTGATTAAGCTTCTTGGAAGGAGAAATGGGGATGCCTTCTCATTTATATAAGCAAGATGAAATGAAATTGAAAGCAGATAGCTTCTTCTTCCCTTGTAACCGATTTTTGGGCGCCAAGATGCTTTCTTGATCGTGTGTGCTCAACGGTAAGTTTGACATGTCTTTATGTGAAGCAAGCCTCCTTCAAATTAATCAAAACAATCCTTTAATCTTAAGCTTAATTAATCACCGTAGAATTCTTCAAATAACTAATCCAAACAATTCATTTCATGTTTTTAAAGCACATCAAAGATCCATCCTGCAAAAAATGCTATCTTAGCCCCGGGCATATGATAAACTTGGCCACTCAAAATCTATCTGAAACACAGTCAGTACAACACATATCCTATACTTGATATTTAAATTGGATATCATATCATAAGGAGATTTCACATCGAATTTATAATGTGCTAAGCCCACGCCCACACACGCTTTTGCATCTGTGCAGCCATGCAAACACATGAAATTCCAATGCCAAAAAAAGACCAAATTCTTGTGTAATGAAGTGCGGCTAGCTGGTCAGATAGTGACAAGGGCCACAAGTGTTCATAAGTTCATAGCAAATGCCTACTAGGTATATAGGTCGTCTTTGGCATAACTAAGTTGTAATCATGAACAGAAAGTGGTTGAAATATCACCAAGCAAGCACAGTCCCCTACAATAGTAACCACCAAGTAAGAGTATTATTAACCAGTTCCCTTGATTAGAAGACAGTAGATTTAGGTTGAGTGGTGCGCCAGTTTACCTTGGCTTCGTTCTGCTCTATCTGTCCATTGGGAAAACGATACTGGAAACGAGGTGGTTTGATACAGGTGAAGCAATTCGACAATAGAGGCCGGTAAGCCTTACATCATCAAACCTGAACGTTTACTAAAGGGTGATGGTCTTAGAAACTGCTACAAGAAAATTGCAAATTAATGCAAAGACATAGTACAGGGACTAATAGAAGAATTTAGCCTTTAATTTTTTTACCAAATGGGGATAACTAGTTTAGATAGTGCTGGGTTCCACTGATATGCAATCCTTGACGATTCCCCTAAACATACAGACAAGAGCTAGCTGATTTGATTTCCATAGGAAGTATATATAGCTCATTGAATCCAGCTAAAAAGCCTCCTTTATCCTAATATAACCAAGCATAACTTATAGTGCCGCATTCAACATGTCCAAAACAATTACCATCTTTGAATTCTAGCACCTGCACTTTTTCCAAGCATTCAACTTGGTTCTTCATCCTGTTTCTGAGACAACTTATGGGCTACAATTTGCCAAGGAGGAGGGCCCCCCTGCAATAATGATGGACGATAGATGACAGACGAGGATGGCCTGCCTCTAAACCAGCACCAACTATTCTTTACCATTGCTTTTTTTAATTCATTGTACATGACAATCTCTATTTGTCCTCTTCTGGGACCGGGGCTTGATGCTGATTTCTAGATGTTACCTGCACTAGAAATCATGCACATTCCAAATTACGATTCAAATTCACTACTTTTTCATATATCATTATCGTTTGAATACTGAATGCGTGGTTAAATCGTCATGAAAACTGAGCTGATCTGAAATGAAAATGCCTCTGAATAATCTATTCCAATGATCAGTGATATATAAGAAAAAGTAGAGAGGTGCTATTAATCTGATGGAGTCATTTTCTGGCATTTTGCTTGCTCTCTTGTGGCTTTAAAGAAAGTTTGAAGCCTCTTTAACTCTTCATTTTCCTCTTTTTCCGTAGGTAAAACTTTTTAGTGCAATTTTACAGTGCGACACCTTAATATAAGGTTAAAATAAAATGTTACCGGTTTTGTTATTGTTTAAATAATAAAATCAGTAAAAAATTACCGATAATATTATTATTTTTACTTAAAACATCATTTTTTTTAACATTTCTGGTCATTTTTTAGCTCCTAGTAATGTTTTCGGTCATTTTTTAGTGCCTAATAATGTTTCCGGTTATTTTTTACCGATTTTGTTATTTAAACAATAACAAAACCGGTAGCGCCTTATTTTAGCTTTATATTAAGACTGCCGCACGTGAGCGTTTTCTCTTTTTTAGACATCAAACTTTTATTGTGTTTTGTTTTCATCGTCAACTATATTATAAAAAATTAACTTAATTATTAAATTTTATATCAACAATCTTAAATAAAAGCTTGAATCTTAATAATTACGAATAGAGTAAATTGAGTTGGGAGGATTACACTCGTAATATTCTTTACGGAATCTGATATGAATAGCTAATTAATAAATTAGATATTTATCAATAATTAATCTAAAAATATTATTAAAGTTTAGGGTAAAGTATTCAAATGGTCCCTCGACTATAAGATACTTCTTTATTGAGTCCCCCGACTATTAAATATTATAAAATAGTCCCCCGACTATAAAATGTTGCTTTGTTGAGTCATTCAACTATTAAAAGTTACAAAATGGTCATTCAACTATTTATTATGTTTCAAACTCATAATTTTTTTGATAAAAAATTAACGACAATTTGAGCTTGATGTTAATCTGTTGTCTGAGATATGATAGTCATTAGTCATGTGAGATTCTCCGATCAGATTTTATCATATCCCATACAACAAATTAACACCCAACTCAGATTGTCATCAATTTTTTAACAGAAAATGATGAATTTGAAACATAATGTATAGTTGAATGATCATTTTGTAACTTTTAATAGTTGGGGGACTCAACAAAGGAGCATCCTATAGTCAAGGGACCATTTTGTAATTTTTAATAGTCAAGGGATTTAACAAAGCAACACCCTATAATCATAGGATCATTTGTATATTTTACCCTAAATTTTATTTATTTATTTTCAAATCGTTTAACTTTAAATTCTTTAACGTCCTTTAAAAATCATGCAATAACATATAAAATTGTTTATGAATTTACACACAAATCTCATTAAAATTTTCTCTCAAATCTATATTTTCATATTTTCTTTGTTTAATCGATGAAAAAAAATATTCTTTCAAATTTGAATGATGAAAAAAGTTAAGAATGAGAAAAAATAATATATTTTAATCTTATATTGATTAGACGATGGACTCTACATATCAAATAAAAATAAGATCAAATATTTAATTCGTATTTTATCGATTCTGAGAAAAACTTTATCAGTCCAATACAAAATGATCGTTAAATTTTATCAATTTAATATAAAATGATCACTCGAAACTTATAATTATTTTATAATATGAAGTGACTGTTTTGTAATAGTTTGATAAATCTGATGGTCATTTTTTAACTTCTAAAATTTTAGTGGTTAAAAATCATTTCAGCATAGGGTTTTATCCTTTTTTTTAAAAATAACCTAAATAATGGAGTCTATGGGGGTCAAAATAGTTGGCTAGAGAAGACCAAAGTTGGTGATTGCAGTTTGCTAGCTGTCGTCTTCCCCACCTGGCTGCGTTAGCTAATATCTGAGTTAGCAAATACACGTGTCAACTAATCTCATTATGGTTGGCTAGAAACGAGCGTAGACAAGCACAGCTAAGTTGAAGACTTTTCCTATATAAACAAACCCTTTATTCATCTCATAAGCAAGCGCCGATTCCTGTTTTCTCAGGACAAAAATCCTACTTCTGTTCCTCATTTCGCGTGTTGTCTTTCGAGAACTGGCTTACACACAAGAAAAGCTCGGGGAGGAAGCCAACAGGAACCAAGCTGTGGTTCTTGCCCTCTATGACGCCTTAAACACTCGAGACGTTCAAACCGTTCACAAAATCCTCGCTCCCGACCTTGAATGGTGGTTCCACGGCCCCCCCACCCACCAGTTTTTGATGCGCCTCCTCACCGGTGCTTCTTCCGACGACTCCTTTCGCTTCGACGTTGACCCGCTCTCCCTCACCACCTTCGGATCCACCGTCATCGTCGAAGGCTGCGATCACGGCCGTTTGATCTCCTGGGTCCACGCCTGGACCGTGACGGATGGGACAATCACCCAAGTCAAGGAGTACTTCAACACCTCCCTCACCGTTACTCGACTCGGAGACCCTTCCCGATCCGCCGAGATTACCACCGCGCATTGCCCTTCCGTGTGGGAGAGCAGCTTTTCTAGCCGGGTCGGCAAATCTGTTCCGGGTCTTGTCCTCGCAATATAATAAGCCTAAAATTAAAGCAAAGCTAGTAGTGTCGACTGTCGTGCTTGTTGTTAAGACAGGGAAGATCGCAGCTGTGTGTTGGTCTGATTTTATAACTATGTATTGTCTTCGTGTGAGTTTGTTTTCGAATGCATTCGGCTTTGGAAATGTGTGTGGAGATATGTGGGTTCAACATAAGAACACCTCCCTGTTCTTTTTACCCTACTCTCTCTCATGTCACTTGTTTCTATTGTTCAATAAAAGCCTTGTATTTTTATAGTTACCTATTACTCCTGCTGCTTCTACTTTTCAACTCTATTTTGTCCCTTCACTGTTTAAGATAAATTATGCCTTTATTATTTAAATTTTTTATATGTTTTAATATTTAAATTTTCAAGTTTTTTAAATTATATTTAAAATTATATTTAATTTTTATTTTATTTTAATAATCATGTTCAAAATTTAACGTTATATTTTAAAAAAATTAAAAGTTTGGACATTAAAATAAACAAAAATTAAGAGTTTATGTAATAAACGCGTTAAAAAAGTGTTTATTAAAATAAAACAAAAAATAATTAATTTGATTTGCTTATATAAGATAAGTAAATTTCAATATGAAGCATATGCAAAAACAGAATGAAAGGGATATGAACTTATTCATATGAATATATCCCTTTCGACCATCAAGAAAATTCAGAATGTACTAAACAGACTGATAAATATTTGTAAGGATCATTCCTAGAATGGTTTGTAAACAAAAACAGCCGCCGGTGACTTAATTTTGGAATATTAGCCCAAACTTATGGTATCCAAGGAACAATTAAGTATCAGATTCTCTAGTATATGCTAAGGTTATGCCCCTTATGTGCCATCTTTTCCTTTTGTCTCCTTACCTGAATTTGCTATTTTTTTTATTTAACATTAAGATTTTTAGTTCAAGAACCTATCAAACAAACCATCTTAGTGTTTAAAGGGAGTAATATTGTTATTCTTAGAGATCTTGGATTCATATAGATGCATCTAGAGGTGAGCATCTCTAAACCACTACTTCATCTTCGTAGGTTGATGACATTTAACTCTCCGATCACCATTAATGATGATCGGTTAAATCATAATCTAAATCTAAACCAACCGAGCTTTCCTTTCTCATCTCTAAACCTTTGCAATTATTTGTGGTTCTTCCAAAAAAATGCCACTTGACTAAACAACCAACATTTCTCCTTGTATGGTTGGCGGAGAAGATAGGTTTGGGGAAGAAAACATATGAAAAAATAGGTAAATTGATATTTTATCCTTGAACTATTTTGGGTTTACAGAAGACCTATGATTAATAATTTATCTAAAGTTTAAGAATTCAAATAAAAATCATATATATATTTTTTTATTAATGTGTCACGTCATCCAACTCACGGCAATTAATGTCTCACTGAACACATCTTAATTAGAACGAAACAAAAGTGACTATGTATACTACATCTTTTTATTTTTAATGGAGTGACCATACATTTATAAAACTAAAACAAAAATGATCAACTTTATAATTTACTATAGTGAAAAAAAGATTTAGTTTTTATGGGAAAATATAAAGAAAGGCCAATACTTTGAAAAAGAAGGCCCATTTGACAAGCTCCACAGAACGAAACACGTAAAACCCATATCTAGAAACCGCGTTGCTTGCCAGGAAAAAGTGAGTTGGAGTGTGGGTCAGAGCGAGTTAAACAGAAGGAAATGGATAGCTGGGATGACCCGGATCATATTCCGTTGGCTCAGGTAGTTTCCGAGTTGGTAAAATTATGGTTCGAGGACGCTCATAAGGAGGCAAAAGGTGGTGACACTAATATGCAGGTCCTTGTTGGTCAAGTGTATTGCAGTGGCTATGATGTTCCAAAAGATTTGTTTAGTTTTCTGTATTAATTTTGGTTTATGGAATTGTTTGGCTTGTTCCATGCGGCCAAATTTATTTTGGAGGGTCAAAACTCATTTCCTTGAATTGAAGGGTGATTCAAACTAAGGTATGATGGGAACAATGAACACAATTGTAGATTCTGCTGCATATGTATACATAGTTGTTGTGGGTCTATGTAATCTATGCTGGTGATTGGATATTTTGGACGCTCTAAGTGTTTCAAAAGGAAGTAAACAAGCCCCTTAAACATGCATACATGCAACAAATATTGGAAGGGATCAAACATGTTCTTACAATTAATACACATTCCTCTATGCATTCCAATCACTTCTCGAGACGTTATCATTCCTCAAGGACAATGTTACCTACCTTCTCATTTGTTCTTACTCCATTCCCATGGCTTCTCAGGGTTTGATTGTGCCCAAAGTCCCATTCGTTTTGCCCGAGCCTTCTTTTCCCAGTAATATCACACAAGTACAAAGATCATAATTACGAGTTTTTACTCGATGATTTGCAAGAACGAACGAAATTGTCATTTACGAGTTGCAAGTTCAACCCGTTGATCGTAGGCCGTATAATGCCATGCGAGTCCTTTCTTCAGCATTACTTCCTGTTTGAGAGTATGATTAGCAGATTAATTTGGTCTAATCAGGTAAATCAAGTTCAAGATTACAGAAAATAGTATCTACCTGCACAAATACGCCATTGCAGTATACATCTGCAACGCAGCGACCGTAATAATCTTCCCCATAGACGAGCACTCTAAAACACTTCCCATGAACAAGCTTAACCAACTCCTCTTTTGCTTCTTTCCCATACGGCATTGCATTCTCGGGTGCTTCTACACTCCTGTTTATATACTTTCAACAAGCTATTACATTTCAGTACAGAACATAGAACACCAAAGTCCTGCGGGCAGATTATTTTACCTCAGTCGAATCCGATACTTTCGAGCAAGAATCTCTTCGTTTTGAAGATTTATGACCCTGGTAATAGACAGATGTTATTGATCTCGAACCAGAATAGTACTAAGCCTGAGAAATGAATGAAAATATTCGACAATAACAAGTTGAATATAGCTATAACTGGTATCCGGATTCGATAATCTTCTGGCGGAGTTCAACAGCCCTGGCATAGTTTTTCTTCGCACGTGCTTTCAATCTTCGGATTGCAGCCATAAGAACATCTCTAGGTACATTTGATGACTCCCTAGGATCAGTAGTGTCCACATGCACATTTAAACCATCACCATCCGGTACCGTTTTCCCATCTACCTGATTAAGTTAGATACGTTTTTAGTATCAATCATTAAATTCAATGGGGACCAAAATGACTTCATAAATGATATACTTACCAGTAATGTATGCATTTCAAACTCCACTCCTTCAGTCAATCTCGTCGGGACTCCGGTAGAAATTTCCACGACGATAGAAGGACGAGGAAGACCGTAGAATTCCAACAATCTCAAAGCACATATGGAACACAAAACATCACTGCAATCCATCAACTTGAAAATGGAACAAAGTTTTTTGATTCTACTGGCCTTTAGTACCTCAACATCTGCCTTTTGATGCCTACTTAAGGTCTCAACAATAAGCATAGCAACCTCTTCAGGGGTTTTTGGTGGGGGTTTTGCTTCTTTCCATGCCTGCAGTAGCTTTGCATACCTTAATGTTTTAACACACCAAACAAGCAGACAATTTCTTAAAAAAACTGAAATCAGAGATATTCAAAAACAAAAGATTGTTGATGGTATGTGAGTTACCATTTGACCTGAGCCTTCCTTGATGATACAACATGTTGACTGAGATCTTCAGGAACCTGAAACCCAGTTTGCAGCTTTCAGCTAAAGAAGTTGAACAAAAAAAATCACTGGGATGACGAAGAAACCTACCTGGGAAGTGATTTCAAAGTTGAAGAGATAATGGGCAAGAGCTGAAACCCCTGGAGCTGTGGTGGTGTAAGGCGGTCCTACTGAATCAGAATCCCCAGTGGTGGTGGGTTTGCAACACTTTCCATATAGGAACCTAAGAGCATTTCCCATCTTCAAATCTTCCCTCTCAGTCTAAAACTTTTTGCTGAAGCAGTGATATGGAGGAATAGATAAGAGAAAGGTAGGAGAAAGACTTCTGGTGGACTTGTGCACCTTTTTTCAGTAAAAGAAAAGTAATCAATGAATTTTTATGTATATTCCTGTTGGTACTGCTAGCAACTTTTTATTAGTATCATTTCAAGTGCTTTAAACTGATAAATTCTGTCAGGTAAACTTTACTAACTGATGCTTCTTTTGAACAAGCTTAGCCAACTCTTCTTTTGCTTCTTTTCCTCAAGGCATTCCATAATTTATTAATTATTTGTAAAATTATGTGATGTAAATCTTTTGGGAAAAACTAAGAGATCCATGTACTTTTTGAAAAAAATAAATGTGATATTTGTATTATTTTTTTAATGTATTAACATTGATATAACAATTCACAGTACTGACATAACTATTCACGGTGCTGACATCACAGTCCAAAGTGATAGATTAACGTGACAAATTACACGAAAATTTGATTAAATTAGTAACTTAAATATGACTGATGAACTGTCGCTTCAGCACCGTGAACTGACATGTCATTACTATAATGGTCGACGACGAAAAATATTGGTCAAATGATCACATTGACTTTATTTTCTGAGTTTGAGGATCACATTGAGAGAGAAAATAATATGAGGCCTACATTAGTTTTTTTTCCCAAATGTACATGATTTCTAATACTTTTTGTCAATTTTTTTATCTATCTTAAATTATTAAAAAACATTTTAAAATAAAGATTAATATAATTAGGAAGAAACTTATATAAAATAAAGTATAATGTGCCTTCCTATTATCTCTGACACTTGTTGATATAATATTAATATTATAAAATTATATAAGTAATCGAATTATTTAATACACATTATTAATATCATAGCAAATTGGGAAAATTGGACTTAAAATTTATTAAAGCATTTTCCCGTATTATCACAAGCCACCAACCTATATCGTTATTTTATATAGTATATGTCATGGCCCAAAAACAGAAGACTTTCATTTTATGGATAATTTAACATTTTATTCCTCCAAAAAAAAATAACCGACCAAATTTTTGCTTCAGCTTACAGCCAGCAAACATAATAGGAAACTATTAGCCATTGGAGTAATAAAGCAAACACACGTAAAGGCTGTTTTATTTCATGATATTATTACACAAGAGAGCGCCATACATGGCGAAGGCCTTAACACACATGTATAGTAATTAAAGAAACACACAATATACTAATGAAGCTCATCTTCCGATTTATTGTAGAAGTAGTGCATGTATAAGCTTTACTATTTAGTTTCAATAGGCGATGGAGGTTTCACCGGCCCTATGCCTTTCTATGGGGGAGTCTTGACGGCTCCTCCTTGATCCATTGATCTTACGATGGGCGTCATTGGGTACATGGTCATCATTCACGCCCCCTCGCGACGGCTTTCTTCCGATCACCACGAGTGGTTTGGGCGTCCAAGAAAGGTGCATTTGCATTCCCATCACTGCTGTAAAGGAAAGGGTGCTGTTCAATCCCCTGCTCTTGTAAAAACTTCCTCACTTCCTTCACAAGCTGTTTGTTGCTTAATCCTTTGTTCTGTTTCAGTACCTTCACCACTGCATAGGTAAATGCCCCATGAGCTTTTCCTTCGGTCAGCGGGCTCCCCTCCAGATCTGCCGAAGTCTCGTTGGCTTGGCATCCACTCAACAGAAGACCCTCGTCCTCCGTCAGTGACCTCGACTTCATTACCGCCCTTTGCTCATGCTCCAGTCGGAATGAGATGCACTCTTCTTTGCTAAAGATTGCTGACAAACCAGAGCCAATACTTTCCACAACATTGGCCCCGGCGTTTACGGCATTTGCAACACCTATAGCAATATTTGCTCCAGTTTGGATGGCACCCGTAACCGAGTGCATGCAATCCATATTGGATCCAATAGAAATGCCCCTAGACTTGTAGTAAACTGGGAGTGGTATACCCTTCATTCTAGTAGGTCCAATTTGTTCTTTGTTTTTGTCAATCAGACCGCCACTGTGGCATGAATCTGATAGGATTGTGAAGCTTGTTCCTGGTTGTAGCTTCTGAATCAAGCGCCTGAAGTCCATGTCTGCACAACCATGATCAGATGTAATCATACTGATATATATTTAAACAACAAAAGGAAACACGCATAGGAAGAAACCGACTGGTGACGAGGTTTAAATCACAAGGCACGATTGTTTCTTCTTCCTGGTAAGATTCGCCAGGTTTCAAGGAAGAAAAGGTTGTCCTGTAACCCCTAGACCGGCCTATGCTTTACGACCAGATCTAATGAGTTACACTAAATTTTTTCAAAAATATTATTCGATAATTTAAATTCATATTATGAATAATCACATTTTAAAAACATAGTTATTAATAATAAGTTCTAATTCGAGTAATATATAAAACCATAAATGACTAAGTAAAACCACATCTTTCACAAATCAGTACAACAACAAAACCCTATTCCCATATGCAATGGGATAAGGGGAGGTTGGGTAGTAGGCTGCCCCCAACGCCAGGTTGAGAGTAGCTTTCGTGGAAGACCTCCGACAGTCAGAAAATTAAAAATAAAGATAAAATACAATGCATGTATAAATAAATAAATAAATACATAGTTGAACATTCTTCGTATGCACTCTTCATATGCGCGTCTCTAATGGGAAGTAATACCTGCAAATAAATCCTTACGTAAAAAATCTCTGCATATATACAGAAAATGTAAGATCCGGCTAAATTTAAAAATACGTAAAAAAATCAGTATCAATGAAATTTTAACTTTAGTCGCAAAAGTAATATACGTCACAAAACAAGTATTTTAAAATAATTAGGCACATGTAATCGAATGATAAAAACATTACAATAAAATGTAATGTACGAAAGCAGAAGCTGATCCAACTCCTGGCATATCATTCCAAACGTAGCTTTGCTCATCCGAAACGTCTTCCGGAACTCTTCCTCGGGAAAATCGGGAGGGGGTTACAACGATCGCACCAGTCCTTGGATCGATCCTTCATTTATAACCTCCTCTGCTGACCCACCTTGACATTCTTATTCTCGTTGTCATCGTCATCCATCGTAACGGTAAACGCCATAGCCAAAGCAGAAGCTGATTTTCGGGATCACTTTACAGATGAATAATCCAGCTGATCAACTTGAAGATGATTGTAGTATTCACTCATTGCTTCGAGTTTTATTTTGTAATTGGATTCAAACAAGGCTTTGTGGTGTCAGGATTCAGCTATCTTTTGAGCTTCCTCTTTCTTTGTTTCTTCTTCTAGTAACAACAAGGAGGCAAGAATATCGCCATATCCACTCTTCCTCAAAGCTTCTTCATTTAAGAACCCATTTCCAGCACCTCCGCCCCTGGAATCCTCATCATCTCCACGCTTTTTGTTGAAGCCATTGTCAAGTTCCTAGAACCAGGAGCTGCTGATATTATAACAGTAATCTTCAAAACTGAGAAATGTGAAAGAAGAGATTCCCATATTCACTAGCAAATGTGAAAAGTAGAGATGGGAACTAAGGGCATTAGTGATTACATATAGAGAGGAGATGTAGAAGAAGAAGAAAGAGAGTCGCGTGTGGGCGTCTGCAAGCTAATGTGAACGCGTTGGTCTTCCCTTTGACGTTTGACGATGACCGCATTTTTGCCCTTTTTAAGTTTGATTATAATTTTACGCGGTTGTAGGCAAAGCTTGGGTAAATTACATCAATCATCACTGAATCGTATTCTCTCTTCTATTTTACTCATTGTACTTTAAATTTGTTCAATTTCATCACTAAACTTTATATATTTGATTTTTTTGTTACTCTGTAGTTTTCTCACTAATAGCACTATAAATTGATTGTTATATAGATGTAAAACGATTTCGTTTTGGTGAAAATTTTATTTTCTTAAAACATCATCGTTTTAACGCCATTAACTATTTAACGACAGAGTGACAAAAAAATCAAATGTATTAAGTTCAATAAGATATAATGAGTGAAATAAGAGAGAGAGAGTAACATTCAGTGATGATTGGTGTAATTTACCCATTATTTTTTATATTTATAAGATTCAATATCTAAATATTACTACCAACAATTAGTTGGTCTGGTAGGATGAATCCTTAAGCAAATTGGGTTAGAAGAGTCGTTTCCGACTCTAGAATGATAGTCAAAGGTGATCTAATTTAACTTAAATATATAATGGACTTTTATCATTCTTAAAAATAAAGGAAATAAATTCAAATTTTCCTTCTCTTTTTATTGATTCTGATCATCAATTATATATATATATATGTATATGTAATTCTTATCAAAATTAGAAAAGATGAACGTTAATTAATACTAATTATAACATTCTTAATGTTATGACCTCAAATAAAGGGAAAATCATAGAAGATAAACTAAAAGATGGAAGCATACATGGGAAAATCAATTAAAGGAAAATGGAAAGTTTTATAAATTGAAGGAGAAATTTTGTTGTTGGAAACCTAAATGAGATAGGGATGGGTATAGGTCGGGTTTGGGTCGAGTTCCAATCAATAGGATCTTACCTGAAAATTTTTATGACCTCCACCTGATCTGAACCCGACCCAAAAGTTATATGCCCTCCGCTTGATCAGAACTCGACCCATATTTTTAAGATAAAACATGAACCAAACTTGATTTGATCCCAATTTTTTTTTTAAATTAATATGATAAGATTAATTCGGATCGAAACACGTCGGCATTGGATGTCGTGCCCATCCCTAAATGGGGAACTTCCTTAAAAATATTAAATGGTGTTTAGTTAATTAAGCATATTAAATCAACTAAATATATATTATCGGGTTGCTCAAGAAAGAAAATAAGTCTAATTATATAACATATCCCTCTATTATGGATTCTTTGCAAACTAAGTAATTCTTATTATAATTTTATCATCTCTAATCCCTCAACCTTTTTTATTAAAAAAAAGTTTAGATATACAAAAGATGTCCGTTTTTTCAGTTTAGTATCTAATATTTTTAATTGGTTAACAATTAATCTTAACGGTTCATCACGATTTGACACATTTTGAGTAACGTAATAAAATGTTAGGCATCAAACGAAAACGAAATAAATGTTAAACACTAAACTAGATAAATATACATAGATTGGTCAACTTTTGTATATTTAATCTTTAAAAAACATTATTTAAACAGGCTGGGTCGAGTAAGGGTCGGGTAAGGACATAGAAGTTATTGAACAAAACAGCTCTAGCTCTACTTGCAGCGCTCAGGACTCGAGTCAAAAACCCATTGAAAAATAAACTTAAAAATAATCCACGCCCCACTATTACCTTACTCTCCGACCATGGCTTCCGCCGTGACCATTCCGATGAAAAACACTCAATCCACCGTCGGTAGTGGCGCCAAAGCACAGCCCCCAATCGCCACGCCTGCTTTCCGTACATTCCTCTCACGGCTCACGTCCTCGATCCGTCAAGGATTCTCTCAGCGCCGCCCATGGTACGAGCTCATCGATCGGACTGCCATGTCCCGTCCCGATAATCTAACGGACGCCTATTCCCGGATCCGAAGAAACTTTTCTTACTTCAAAGTCAATTACACCACTCTACTCGCAGTTGTACTCGCTTTCTCTCTCCTATCGCATCCCTTTTCCCTCCTCGTCCTCCTCGGCCTCCTCGCCGCTTGGCTCTTCTTATACTTGTTCCGACCGTCGGATCAACCTCTCTTAATATTCGGCCGTGCATTCTCAGATCGTGAGACGCTTGGCGCGTTGGTGGTTTTGACACTCTTCGTCGTGTTCCTGACCAGCATTGGGTCGCTCTTAATTTCCGCGGTCTTGATTGGAGTTGCCATAATTTGCTTACACGGTGCGTTTAGGGTTCCGGAGGACTTGTTCTTAGACGATCAGGAGCCTGGAAACTCCGGATTCCTCTCCTTCCTCGGAAACGCCGCCACCTCTGCTGCTGTTGCGGCGGCTCCTGCAGTTGCCTCGCGTGTGTGAACTACAGGTTTTGCAAGCGGCACATTCATTTATGGTAAATCAAAAACGATTTACTGTTTTCATAATAGATTGGAATATTCAATTGTAGCTTTGCTCTTATTTTCATTTTGACTTGGATATGAACTTGGATTAAGAGTTAGATCGTACTGTACTTTGATTTGGATGTTGTATAATTTGACTCTTGAATTTTTCGATTCAGATTTCGATGAGATTAAATTTAGCTTTAAACATGTATTCATTTTCTATTCATCATGGAAGTTTTATGCTGTTGGTTTTCATGTCAGTGATGAGAACTTAAGAGGTTTTGGAGGGCATTGTTGGTCACATTATTAATGTTTTCTGTTGCATGTGGCTGATTCAAAATTTCTTTTTACTTACTCTTGGATGATGAAGTTGCTTTTGAATTTGTGTGATATAGCTTAATGATTTCCAATAGAACAGTTTTCATATCTAATATTGTTCATGGAACTCCTTAGCTTATCAAATGCAACTGCAATCCTTATTTTCTTTAGAATTATGACTTTATGAGTGCGTGCAAAACGTAACATATCAAATATTTTGATTTGTTTATGTTCCAAATCGCATAATTTGAGACTGAGAGCATGCAGTAGTGATTAGTTATTTGACGGTTAAACTGGAATTCTTGGGCTAGGTACAATGAGCTTGTTTCTTGATTTACCAGAACATTGGTGTTTAGGGCATAGATTATGCAACTCTAAATCATCTTTAGTATATTGCCTGCAGCCCTTCCAAATGTTAACAAATATGTCGTTTACCGCCAATATAATATTTTCGCCATCAACTGTGGAAAGATATTTTCCCTCATCTCATTATCCGTATGCATAGTGTTCAATTTATTGTGCATAGCAGCACTTTATGTGCCATTTCTACAGATTTCCCATAAACCATTATCTTCTGCTGGTCACAAAGTTCAAGCCAATAAGCATTTTCAGTTCGGTAATATGTTCTGCATCAATTGCTGGCTCTCTTGCTTTTCCTTTTGGATAGACTAGGCCTGGGAGGATGGTGTCTTCTAATTGCTCTTATATAAAATCTGAAGTATCCTGGAGAGGATGGTTGAATTCGTTTCCTTGGTTCATGCTTCATGTGCTTGGATGATCTATAAAACCTCGAGTGAGGTTATATATTCTTTTGTAGTTTTCAATTTAGGTGTCCTTTGGCCTTGTGATAGGACTCATGTTCTGCTGTATATTGATGAATTGGCTAGTACCAGAACCAAAGAATACCCAAATGTCCTGAATTTGTTCTTCGCAAGTCCAGCACCCTGAAAATGGAAAGAACAGAAACCATAGATGATGCCATAATGGGCAATAATTAATCATCAGAGCTGCTTGATGTTCTTCGAGTGCTGTCAATACCCTAGATACATGGTGGTAAATGTATGCACTTAGATGTAGTTCGAAGAGGGAGGACGGAAAAGAAGAGAGTTGTCTGGTCAAACAGGGATGGGCATCGAATCGAATGTCCCCAACACCTTCTCAACTGTGAAATGTGCACGTTTACAAGGCTGTTTTTCATTTCATGTCGCCATTAATGAACGTAGAGTTAACCTCTATTGAATGAAGAGCCTGAGCTATAACTAGAGATAAATATACGATAACGACAGTCCAAATCGCTTGTCCATTAGCAAACCGGGTCATGTCTTTCTGTTTAGATTGTTACTTTCTGACTTCTCAGTTTGCAGTTTTGGAGGTTTTGTTTATAATTTTGTTTTTGTAATTATTTGAGTGAATAAATATTTAATAAACGTGGCATTAATTAAATGACGATTTGGTAGTGATCAGGTTTCTAAGGAAAAAGTGGGTCCAATTTCCGCCCTTGAGACTACCTTGTCTTTGCTTAAACTCTATCACCATGTCCAAAAATGAAAAAGAAAACAAAACCTGCATGGTTTTTGTTTATAAATTTCAGGATAAAAATTCAATTCTCCATTAATTGTAATTTGATCTAATTAGATAAAACGTTAATTTTTTTAAATAAAATAAATGGTTTAAACCTTGACACTATATATAAAGTAAACTAAATTGAAAGTCATTCTTATAACAGCTAGTAGTGTAAGGAAAGTGGATAAGTATAACATTTGCCTTGGCTTGTAAGCTAAAAATGCCCCATTATAATCAACGGGTTATAATCAAATCCCGAGACTAGTTCAAATGGTAAACATTTTAATATCACTTAAGCAAGTCTCGAATTCGAGTCCTTATGTATACAGAAAAACCTCATTTGAAAAAGCCCCAGAAACCGAGAAGGCAACAAAAAAAAATGCCCCATTATTACAATGACTTGGGAAGGGTAAAAAATGGATTTGATCTTGATGAAGATTTGGCAGCATTTCAACCTCCATTTTGTTGGATTTTCAATGGTTTCTTTCTTACTCCAATCCTCACCAACAAAGGTGTTAAGTGTTATTCAGCTGATGATGAGCAACCCAATTGGAATGGGTCAACTAAAACAGGGTCCCATATACATACAGATGTTCATTTTCTACCTAATTAGTTAAGTACTCATGGAATACTTTTATATGTATTCTTAAGTTTATATAAATATTTACGGCCAATAAGACCTTGACACAGTCGGTAAAGGTTTAAACTTTGGGTGGCTCAAGTCTCAGCCTGCGCAAATTAAGAATGTACAGGCTTTCTACTTAGTTTTGATGAAAAAATCTAAAATGAAATCAGAACGAAGAAGTGGGAGAACGGATCATCAGAAAATCAATCCCGGCACAATCATTCGCAGTTTTGCAGGCTACAGACTACCATGGAACAAAATTGCAGCTGCTCAAAAATGGACTTGAGAATAGGATCCTCCTTGACTGGCTGAAGGTCCCCTAAACTGCCGCACCAAAGAAGATAGATACATCTGCAAGAATGATAACATATATGATCGTATGATTTGTAGGTTTTGTCTCATTTCATTACCGACTAACAACAGGGTACCTGCGTTCTATGCGGTAAGCTGACCCAGAAATCCAAGTTGGGAACTGCCTGAAGAAAGCAGAGCATGGACATAAAAAGGTAAGAGAATGGTCTGTCGGTTGAGGCAAGCCAAAATCACAACTTTCACATAGAAAGGAACAAAAGGATAACTTCAGAGAAAAACTTACTTCTATACCGTGAACTCCAAGGAAAACATATCGATAAACAGTACCAGCAAGCATATAGGCTCCAAAGAGGCATATGATACTAGAGACAAAAAAAACCAGTCAATCGAGAGCTGCTATAGATTATTATTATCATCATTATGATCTAAGATGTTAAAACCCTTACAGGATCAGCAAGGTACCAAACCAACCAAACCCTTTCCCATGAATGGATATGATTGTTGCACACGCAGAAGGATGCCGCAGCGTTGTGGCCTATCAAAATTAACAAAACGAACTTTGAAACACCAAGATAACCCACTTGTCAAATATGAGAAAACAGAAAAGTTATCAACATAATGGACATGGAAATTGGTACTATGAATATATCAGATACTGTTAACTAAAGTTTTTAAAATGACTGTTGCCACTGAAGATCAATGTATAGCAAAACTACACTTCTTGGACATCCTGTAATGCATATGCATGTGTATTCACGCATAAGCATACTCAACATATACATGATGTTTGGTTAAAAATATTTTCAAGGATATCAGTGTAAGAAACTGACTGAAACTTACATATTCACAAGTCCCCAGTTTCTCCATTGAATCTGGCCCCTGTTCAGCAGAATGGTATATTAGGTTAATATCATAATTAGGTATTTTGCAACTCCAAGGAATTTTTATTTGATCATAATTAGCATAAACATTGTGGTAAATCCTCTTACTTGAGCTCCAGTTGAATCGCAAAGGATTGAGACAGAGAGTGAACAATTGTGCTCTTTTCCACTGCTCGACATTCTAACAATGACACCTTTGAAAGGATTCAGCTTGTCTGTCATGTATAAGGTAGTATAACAGTCACTATCAGCAAACTGCATTTATACAAAAAAGAGCAAAATCGACTGTCTCCTCATAGCATGGCACCATGGAAAAAGAAAGCAATCAAACACACAAAGGGAAACTGCCACTAAAAGCTATGTTTGATAAATGTGAAGCATCCAAGGCTTAACCACAGAAAGAATTGCCACTTTGCGAGGCGGATTTGGAGTGTTTCTCTTATTTACTAAGGTCTAGGTCATACTAGAAAGTCCCCTAGAAATAAAATGCATTTTTGACTTACCAAGGATGCTAACATCTGTACTTGAAACCTGTCCAATAGTAGTGCATACGTGATAACCTGCATAAACCACATAGATTCATTTAGAATTTGATAATTCAACATACTGCATTTATTTTTCTTTCCAACTATATGCATATGAAAGTCTGTACCATGCTGCTAATAATGCACATGTAGAAAAGTACTATAACTTTATAACCACTTGCATGAATGAGGAAAAGTTATTCTAAATTTCAAGTTATGCAAATGTGAAGAAGCAATGTGCTACAACGAGAAAAAAATTTACATGTATTTCTAACACTTTTTTGTCAGGCTCTAATAGGCTAAAGTATAAAAGAAAAGACAATTGGGAATTACGCGAGAATGCCAAAACACAGAAATTGAACAATAAATAAGGATACCTTAGTTAAAGAACTCAATAATAAAAATACAATTACATCTGATCATGATTGAATAATTACTTGTCAATAACCAGTAATTATGTCGTTGAAAATTTATCATATTGAAGAATAGCACCCACTTATAACTAGTAAACAAAGGAAATACTAACTAAAAGCAAGAAAATCAGCAAAAATGTTTACCCCCAGCACTTTTAGCCACTAACGCACTACATTCCATTCCACAGCGTGATGGGCCTCCACAATCCTGAAGTATTATTATACAATCAAATAAAAGAAGAGGAAAAGTTCATCAACAATGACCTGCATCGTATTCTGGATCCTTTCATAATTAGCATGTATACAAAAAAACACAGATAAATTCAGGAAGCAATTACCGAGCACTCAGCACATCCGGGCGGGTCGTGGTTAAAAACCATTCTACCGCAAAGCTGCTCCATTGAGCCAAAGAAAAGAAAGCCAATAAGAAAATAAGCTAAATTTATAGGGAAAGGCATCATATATACTTGCTTCTAAAGACTATAGCTTCTTCTTGTTGGTTACAAGTTCTGTAATTAAACCCATAAATGTTATTGAGAGGAAAACAACAAACAAGAATTTAAAAGCATACTTGAGTAGTAATTAACCACATCAGAATCCGCATAAAAGGTTCGTGCTTCAAAAGAAAACCTAAAGAAAACAGAACTACTTAAAACAAAGTAATAAACTGTAACCTGATGGAGCCAACCTGAAACCAAAGCACAGTCTCATTCACAGTCACCTTATAAAACCTAGCACAGTTAAACAAAATAAAAGGCATTTCAATAAATAAAAAAGAAGAAGCTAACCCAAGTTACCCAACTGAGATATGAAGGCTTCCAATCATATGAAGATAATGTGAAATACAACACAATTTTCAAAACAACAAAATTTTCACACTCCAAACAGGTCTAAAGTTCAGCTACAGAACTAAACTAATCGAACAGGATGCAAATCTACAAACACCGTTTTCTACTTAACCAAATTCGTAATAAATTCTCTTTAAATAGAACACCGAACTTGTTTGTAAGTAATCAAATCGCAGACACTATGAATTTCACTCCTTGATAAGCTAAGTCTACCGAGTAGCAATATTCTAAATTAGTGTAGTATATACATAAAAAAAAAGGAATTGCCTAAATTTTCAACAACCTCGTATACTAAAATCGAAGTAATTTAGTAGAAATCAGAGATGCTTAGATCAGGGGAAAAAACGAATTTGAGTGTGTTACCCGTCTTCACTGAGGACGCCATGGGGGAAACTAGGCAGAGGAGAAGCCAGGGTGAAGTTGTAGAGCTTGTGGCGGTCAATGAAGCTGTGTTCGCAGATCCCAACGACTGGGTTAACTCGGAGTTGAATCGCCAAGAGAAAAATTACGAGAAGAAGCAATCTCGGAGATTCATTTCCCATTGTCATTTTTATTAGCTCAAAAAAAGTAATTATCAATTCTCTAATTCGTTTGAAACACTAAAGACTAAAGACCAGAGAGTGAATCGAATACAAAGCTGAACCGAAGGGGACAAGCAGAAATTAAGCTTCCTCACTGCATCCAAGGGAGAAAATTTAAACTTTGAGTTAATTGCTCAATATCATCTTATCTTTTTAGTAATTATAATTTGACCCCTTTCGTTTTAGTAGGGTAGCTTTGGCTACCCCACCCAAGCTTTTCACTGGACTAATTATAAAACAAATATCAAAATCATAGTGTTTTTCGTGAAGAGGTGTTTAAACTGTTTTTTTGAATGAGCCTGGTGTTTAACGTTATAAATGTTATTATTTTAAGTTTTCGGACCATAACTATTGTTAGTATCATCTGTTAAGTGATACGTATCACATTTTGATAATTTTGAATTTTTAAATTACAAATATTATTATATTTATAAAAACGATAATTTCTCTTAAATTACAAAAAAATACCTCAAATTATAAAAATCCTAAATCCCTAACTTGTTGTCCTCGCCCGACCATGACCACCGTTACCGGCGTAATCCTTGTCATCTTCCTAGTCATACGTTGCCATAATTGCCATTGATTGGCAATCAGAATCGCAACTTTCATCCTAGGATTCGCAGGGTACAAAACATCGATTGGTCGCCGATCGGTCACGATTTCATAGACGTATTGAACAGCGGGGTCGGTGAGGTTAGGTGGAGCTTCTTCGATAATAAAGGGCGGCGGTCGTGGGTTTAGGGGTTGAAATAAAAGTATTCAAAGTTTTAGGGTTATTTCAAATTTTTTATGTTTTTAAAATGTGACACGTGTCACTTAACGAATAAAATTAAGGTGTTTATGACCCGAACATTTAAAGTAATAACGTTAGGCACTGGAATCATTCAACATATAGTTTAACTACCTATTCGTGAAAAACATTATAGTTTGACACTTATTTTATAATTAAACCTTTTCACTCCGCAGCTTTAAGTGCAGAAACGACGTCGGTTTCAAGTTCTATTCGAAACACTCCGAACCATTTATGGCTGAAAAATATCTATGAAAGCCTAATCGTTTCCAACCGTAGTGTTCGACTTGAAGTCGGTTATATAAACATATACAATTTAAAAAAAAATCAAATTATTTAAATTAAATTAGTTTTTATAATATAAAAACCACAAAAATGGACGAGGAAACCCGACAAGTGATTCGTGGAAATTAAGAAATAAATAAATATACCAACCAAATTACTAATGGTTGGTTTATCAAAGTCAAGTCTGCATGAACCTTTTTCCAGGGATTGGAAAAATTGAATAAATCAAAGCAAAAGGTTGATTCAAGTGATAATTAGTCTAATATCGCTTAAGTAATATCTCAAGTTTGAGTCTTTGTATATGTAAAAAATCTTTGCTGAAAGACTCACCTATCAAAATTAGATATGCAACATGAGTCGGTCTAGATTAGTCACGACAAAACTTAGAAACTAAAGGGCAACAAAAAATGAAAATAGAATAAATCAATGTATTATGTAGAGTAAATTCAATCAAATAATTTTCATTAAAAACAATTATCATAGTAATACATAAACAGGTGGATAGTGGATACATACCCTGTATATACCTAATTTTAGACAAAAATAAGTCTGGATAGAGCCAAGACATGATCCTCACATAATATTTGCGTATACGTTATAGCAAAACTCGACGAGTTCAACCTTGTTTCGTTTTACCTGATCATCATCGTCAAGAAGAATCTTATTTCATTGTTTAAAAACGGTCCTTTTCCCACCGGTAGTTAACAGACAATCCAAGGCCAAAAACAAGTTAAACAACAACTTCCGAGCAGCTTCATGACTCGTTGCTTGACTTCTTACTCAGAGCTAGCTGTTGCTTGGGGCTTTGATGGCTGGCTAGTACTACATTCTATACGGCTAGTTAAAACAAAGTTTCATGTTGTCTCCGGTCACTGTAGCCTTGTAATGTGCTTACTAGCAGCTCAATATGGAGGTCGACCTCGACATCGGCCAAATCCCGAATCTGAAAGAGTTTATCAGCCGTTTAACTCAAACCATGCACTCCTCGGTCCCTGGTTCTTTAGTTATATGGTTCGTAAAAGAAGAGGCAATGCTATGATTATGCAGACATACATTTGAAGCTTGTTTTGTAACATTTATCTGATTGTCGGTGTCGGTTGCTCAGGTATGTTAGCCTTACGGTCGACGGAACGATTAGCTATCAGAATCAATTGTATGAACAGAAAAACCTTTCTTTGATATTAGTGATGGAATCTTTGCCAACTATTGGTGGCAGCTGGTATTGCCATTTTATTCATTTAAAGAACCTAAAGTTTACTTTTTTTGTTGTTGTATATATAAACTTTTATGTACTCTGCAGGACAACTATCCGAAGCAATAGGCAGAGGTCGCCGGCGATAGAAAGTTTGATGTCTACATGGGGATAGACGTATTCTGAAGGGAAAATACGGTGGTAGAGGATGAAATGTACAATTCATACTAATCTTGTGATAATTTTTATGCCATAGTAGGATAATATAGCAATTCTTTCCTTAACAGACAAATGCACCACTTGATGTGATTAAAAAGGGTGATGTCTCGGCTGCCATATATGCTCCCGGATGGGTCTATGAAACGAAACAACCCCCCGACTTTCAGACTGCTCAAAACCGGTAATGGACTTCTTTCGTAACCGATAAAAAGCTCCGATTTCCCCTTATGATTCGGATGTCGTCAGTTCCTCTGCTTATTAAACAGAGAAGCATAACCAGAATTACAAACAGTTGGGTTATGGAGTCTGGCTTTTGCAGTTGGTGGATATCATGTAGGAATTTACACTAGAATTCATACATTTATATAGCTTAGAATTACAATATCCATCAACCCAACCTAATAATAGAAGTCCACTTGCAACTCAACTTAGCAACATTCGTTACTCCATAGGAACCTCATAGGTAATCCGTTACTCCATAATAACTACATCCTATGTACATGGAATACATCTTATATGAACATATCAAGTACATGAAATGTGATATAGAAACATGTTTGAATCATTCAAAAGGTGCCAAATATGCATTTAAATTTATTCAACTATTACGACTAATGTTTTTAGTCTTTTGCTAATTAATGCTTCCAAAAGTGATCAAGCCATATCCAAATGCACTACTAACTGCTTGAGCAAATTTCAAATATGTCTAAATGTCAAATTAACAAATATTTAACTCAAATGTGCCTCATGCAAAATTTAGTATGAAATGTAAATTATGTGTAATTTATGCACTTCTAACTTTCCTCAGCGATCAATCTAACATATGTAGAATGCAATTCTAAACCTTGTGAGCATGTATGTCCATATCAATTGATACCTCCTACCAATCAACACTCCAAATGGAAAAGATGGGAGGAGTCAAGGAGACGCACTTTTAGGAAACGTTCTCGGCGTACGTTAGCTGGTCTAGAGTTCGTCGAGATTTTCCTTTCTCCAATTTTCTACGATTTTCTCTGGTTTGTTCTTAATTCATTGTAGTTTATTTGTTTTCTGGCTTCCTTTTCTTTCTTGGTGAATGGATTCACGCAAATTGCTTGATGTGAATCAAGAACAAACCTTAGAGTTTTTCCCTCACTGATCTGTGATGATTCCATTGTTGTTAAACCTTAGAGGTTAGTTTAGTTGACGAGAACCTTTTTGTTTTTCAATTTGTAAATTCTACGGCACGAGATTGGGCTTTAGAAAATGGCCCTTGACATATCTAGAATAATCTCATGGTTTTGAGGAAATGAGAACCAAATTTGCAGAAATTGGAGCTAAACATGGATCACATCCCAGTTTGATTCCACTTATCGTGGATTCCTTTGGGGTTGTTAAAAACAAAGGAATTAAGCTACATAGGAAGTGCCCTGGACACTCCCTTGTATATGGACAACATTACCGCCCCTCGTCAACAGCTTTTATTTGCTAAGGTTTGTATAGAAGTTTCCCCTTATCTCAATGTTCCTCGTTGTATGGAGGTTATGCTTAATAATGGTTTAACTGTTTCAATTGGGGTGGAGGTTCCCTGATTTCGGGCGAGGTGCTTTAAGTGTTGTACATTCTGCAGGGAGGTCATTAAGGGTAATGTTTGGAAGCTTAAAGAGCAGAATCCTAGTCCTGAAAGTAGTTTTGTGCAGGTCACTTGTAATCCCTTAGAGCCAGCCTAGGAGTTAAAACTGAATCAGGATAGCATCGCTGATCACATAAACGATTTACGAATGAAATTAGTTTAACATAGTCATTTAAAAAAGCATTTACTAATTATAAAACCTGTAACAAAATCATGCCACAATTATATAAGGTTGAAAACAAATAATTAACCTCACACAATAAGAAATCGAGACCACACCTCCGATAGCCAATATGATCCTATAACTGGTTAATCTAGAAAAGGAAAAGCAAGAATAGAGTAAGCTAGGAAGCTCAGTGTGTCCTCTACAGTAAAACATATATTGATAACATTTCATAAATAAATAAACATATCATAAATACACAGTTTGAAATTTAGATAATAGTAGACCAATTGACCATCACCAGAAGGTTTGTAACACCCTCAAACCGATACGGGTAATTATATCTGATCTGAGGTGTCACATTAGGATCACTAGAGCGGCCCACACTAAACTACAGAAAAATTTAAAGAAATTCTTAAACTATTTAAAAACCATAAAATAATATATAAATAAAAATACAATTTCAGAAAAATTCATTCATATATTAAAACATAATATCAATATGTTGCACATCAAATCAAGTTACAAACTTCATATAACAAATATAACATATATGCCCTCTAATCATATCGGTACCGTACTCTCAAGCAACACCGGAGGAACTCCCATATACTGATGTCGTTAACTAAGCTAGACTGATTATTTTAACCTGAAATGGTAAGTAACAGGTTGAGCTTTGGGAAGCTTAGTAATTCAAAATTGTCAGATGGTCCTAAAGGACAAGCAGATATATGGTTCATAGTAATGAGTTGTGGTTTCCCTAATTAATTC